CCCTCCTTCGGCCCTCCTTCCCGCAGTGAATCGTTTGCTGCTCGTTTCAGGCTCTCCTTGAAAGTAAGTGGTTTCTTGTCACTCTCCGGAATAACTGCACCCCCACAAATTATATTTACACTTCCAAAGCGGCGTACAAGTCTGGCAACGGCGCATCACAAACATGCATGCTGTCAAGGAGTCAACTGGGCATGAGTATGGCTAGGTTGAGCTTCCAGTGAATGTCCAGTTACAAGTGTAATACAACCAGTATTGGAGCAACAGCCACAAAACAACATCCAACAAAGCAAGAACCTGGTAAGACAACTCAGTGGCCAGAAAGTGCAGCATTTAGAACGTTCTGGGAGCATGGAGTGGTTTTAGGCTAGTAGAGGTGCAGTTGGGTCTCGAAGGCAGAGAGGGAGTCTGATGACCAGACGTGGTTTGGCAACTCATTCCACCACGGAGGAAACACACATAAGAAATGTTTGGCACCAGACCCCCGGGATAGACCAGCCATCCAGGCCCCCAGAATAGTTCAGCCATCAGCCTCTTCTGGAGTGGAAACCTCAAAAACAGCCACGATTGTGGAATCGGGCTGGATGCACATTTCACGTTTTCAGTCTGCATTCCATCCTTCATCCAGTTGACTGGTTCTCCGGATCTGGGCTCCCCGTCTGGCGCCGCCAGCGCTCAGCGTCTCTCCACTTTGTGCCGTCGCAACGGATCCGTCACAGATGGACAGCCCGAGTTGTCTACCAGAATCCCAGATATCTTTCTTCCGGAACCCCTGTCAATGTGCCGAGGATTCGCCGTCCTCCTCAGATGTCGGCACGTATGTTTTTGCCGACATTGACCGAGACGGTTAGCGCACTGGTTCACGGGGGAAGGGAAGTGTCTGTCAAATGGTTCTTGCCTGCACCTGCCTTCCCCTCAGCCCCGTTAAACGTACCTTAAACGCCGATTTAGATTTTGGTCTTAGCTGCAGATGAGTTGACAGGTAACGGCACAGAGAGAAGCTCGAACTAGACCCTTCTTAACCCACCTTCCCCCAGGTGGGCGGGCATCGCAGTCAAGCGTCTGCTGACATCCGTGGATGGGCAGAGGAGAGAAGGGCATGCTCCCCCGCTCGTCACCTGTGCCGACGTGGTGGCGTGTTCGGCATCTTGACCTTCCGTGCTTTCTCTCTCTCTCTGTCTCGCTCTCTCTCGCTCACAGCCTTGCCAAATCCCGGTTAAGAAAGCCACAGGAGAACTGACTCCTTACGTGGGCTGAGCTTCTCCTGAGGCGGCTTCTGAGCTGAAGGGCCTCCCCTTGACACGGGCTGTGCCTGTCGATGATGGTGGGACTCGATAGGAGGATTTGGCTGGAGGTCACCTGACCGCACGCCTCAGCTAATTAGATTTTCAGTGGGATGATAACCCCTGTTTTTGCAATCTGGGTGCTGGGGAGCAAAGTTGGCACCCCCCTCCCGACAAGTACCCAGCCGGGGACCCTCCTAGTTCTCTGACGCAATTTGAACCCTGGTGCCCACCCAACATACCCAAATGCCCACTTCAGGCTGGTGTCCTGTTAACTCCACTGGCAGAGGCGCCATTGGGGGGGGGGGGGGGGGTAACATCAGGACAATTCCAAGGGCCGCTGAGTGACAGGGGCCCTAACAAGTTTTGAACATAATTGAATTGTTCAGGGTTGGGGGCCCAATATGACATGTTTTTACGGGACCCAAAATCTCTGGCAGCACCCCTGGCCACTGACCCTCACCCCTACCAACATGAAAATTCTGGACCTGGCTGCCAGATTAGTTCTGGTGCCGACACTGCTGGGGAGGCCCCTAAACTGAGCTCACAGACACTCTCTGAGCTCCTGATCCTCGGTTACTCACCATACACCACACAGAGAGTCAGCATCCACTTAAACCCAGCAGAAAGACATTAAGTTTTTATTTGAAAATCCTGTCATGGACGAATCCGTCACATGCTGAGGCACAGCGGCAGTGAAATTGTACCTTGTGCTTCTCTCGCACGAAGTTCTACTTGCCGCATCAAGCGAGTCAGGTAACGCATCGCCGCAAAGTGATTCCATTGTTTTAATTCCTCTTTTCTAATTAGGTCTGCTGTCAGGACAAGCTGAATGCATCGTTGACTGATACACAAAGAATGCGACACTTGTTTATCTGTTACACGGCTCTCTGTGGCTCCTACATCTGCTCGGCTGGTTCTCGTGGCTTTTTTAAAACGGTTCTAATTCTTCATGCATAGAAGTGTGTCTCGCTAGCGCCGGGCGTACGAGATCCGCTCCCTCCCTCACTTCCAGAAAGCCGTCAAAGTGAGATGTGATCCCCAGTTGCCAGGTGGGGCTGGGTATCTCTCTCTCCCCCCCACCCCCCCAGGCTTGGAAGGTCATTTGAAGGTCAGGCAAGCGATTGGCCACATGTGGGCGCCGCTTCTGATGGAAGCTTCTTCAAAAACGAAAGACTTATGATTGGCAGGATGATTGTAGCAGGCGTACAGAGAGGAGCGTCACAGCCTTATCGTTAAACCTGACAAGTTCCACAAACTCAGCATCATAGCTGCCTTTTACTGCCTGCCTTTACTGACTGGGCTTTTAAATGACCCTCCATCATAAAAAGTCCATCGCAGCCCCAGCGCTTACTGTACCCCTCCCTGTGCGTTCGCCCACTGCTCCTTCAGAAACAAGCTCTGTCCTTCAGTACAGCCGCAGATCCGTCTGTGCCCAGGTTATACCTTATCCCTGCTTTTCAGCCTGTAGTCTGGTTTTCTACATCGATCGGCCGGATAATGACAGGATAGAACAGGTAGCACTAAATCACCCTTATTTAGACTC